TTTTGAGAGTTTTTTTTAATCATTTATCTGATTAAAACATAGACAAACAAAATGTGGTATTTTTCAAGAAGCTTTGTAGAAAATGTAATACCCTCAAAGAGGCAAAAACAATTTTAGAACAAATGCCTTTTGAGAGGCTAGAACTCTTCCAATTAAAACAAAAAACAGTGTTCATTTTGAAAAACAGGTATCAATCCCAGTGGTTTTTTGCAATAACTTATCAAGCACAAAAATGTCAAACATTCCACGAAATGTGACAACTGTCATTAAGTATTATTTGTTATGCATACATTTTGGTTCTAAATATTCTTAGATGAGGACTCTTACTGACCCAGTAGCTTTGAGGCTATGAGAATGAATTACAGTATTATGACTAAAAATTAACAAAATGTTTAATATTCATACCGGTAGTCGGTTGTCAGAGTTGTCAAATATAATCTCAACAAAAGCTGAAATGACACGTGGACCAGTTCCTTCCTAAAATGACAGAATAGAAAAATCATATTAAAGACAATAGCTGAACACCTTTAACAAGGATCAGCAATAACAAATTCAAAAATAATTTTTATGATGAGATATGCACAACAATTTATATTCAAATGTGCATGATGACCAATTCAGAAGTCAGAGCTTTGATTCGCAGATAATTTAATGTCAGGACTCACATGAAGAAGAGCCAGACGCTGTTCAGGTCGCAAGTGGCTGAATTCATCGCTGAGCACAAACTGGATGGCTGAGTGGGGTGGAAATTTAAAAAGAGGGAAACTTTAAAACATGGAGCACAATCTGTTTAACAACAGCAAGGCTAAATAAAAACCATACATACCATAGAAGAAGTTACTTTTTCCTGATCCATTTCGGCCAACTGAAACAAAAAAGAAAAAGTGGTGATATCATTGCATATTTCGGGTCTACTACATAAGTAAGAATATTCAAAAATCTTCACGTTGAGCAAAAACTCACCGATCACATTGTGTTTGGGACTGAAAGGGTCCACAACAGTTTGATCCCTGTAACTTCGGAATCCCTGAATAATGACCTGATGAGAATACAAACAGAAGCATCTTCAGAGTCAGAGAGTCAGAGTTTCTTTATTGTCATTCGCACCTCATGTGGTACATGTGGTGGAGCGAAATTATGTACACAAGGTCCCAGTTACATCCAACAATAAAATGTATAAGAAAAACAGTAATAACATCTAAGACATGAACTAAGAAAAACATCAACTAAATATACACTAAGCACTCTTAACATAAAACATTGAACATCAGCACAAACATGAACATGAGTCTGTGAGCAGATGTGCACGCATGAACACATCAACATTGAAACAGATCAGCAGCAACATGAAACAGATCAGCAGCAACATGATATGGTTTTTCACAGTGATTATTCTAGTTAGAGATTCATGAGTCTAACAGCCTCAGGGTAGAAGCTGTTCCTCAGTCTAGTGGTTCTACACTTAATGCTCCTTAACCTCCTTCCTGAGGGGAGTGGGGCAAAAAGTGTGTGTGCTGGGTGAGTGGGGTCCTTCATGATGCAGGTGGCCCTCTTCCTGCATCTGGAGGTGTAGGTGTCTGTGATGGTGGGGAGGCTGATTCCGACAGATTTCTGTGCAGATGTTCAGGGTGTACATCTTAACATATTCAGTGGATAGAAATGTCTATAGTGTCTGTAAGCCCTGGTTTTTGAATGCATAAATATTAGACTTAAAATTAATGACTAGTGTGTGAATCGAGACAGTAACATGATAAAAGACAGGACAGGGGGCCTTGGCTAAATGTGCATTTTGGGCTAACTTGCACATTTCATTCAGTAAGTGTCCAGCTTGGTACCATATAAAACCGTTAAGTATTACAACAATAATGTGGACAACCTCACTCTTTGCAAAAGAAGTATACATTCATACAAATATTATTCATTATACTGAATTTGATCGAAGAGTTAGCCTGCTAGCGTTAGCTTAGCACCACCGGATGGAGACAATTCAAGATTGAAACAGAGAACGAGAGCTAAAGTTAACAAGCTAGCTACACAAGCTGTTCAGTGTTTTATTCAGTAAATATGTGTGTCTTTGCATTTCACTTATTATAAGTGAACGTTTTGACATGTATGCATCCTTCAACCATTCCGTTAAACTGGCCTGGTTACCGACAGTAATCGGTTAAATGAACGAGCCTTAGCTTGGTGGTCGATACTTACCTGTTTGATGTACATGGCTGCCTAAACAGAGCGCGTCTCCTCGGCAGAATTTGGAGATAAAATCCCCCTGCAATTATTTGGAGAGCCGGGAATGCTATAATATAATTTTTACTGTCGCATTCAAAATTATTAAAGTATTGACTGCTAAAAGAGAATAACATGGAAAATGGCGGCGGGGGCGGGATGGAATGGCTCGTACCAATACGTGTGAACAGGGTTACAGCCAAAAAAATAAACAAAATATGCCAAATTAGAGAATGATTCGTGTATTTTAAAAATATAAGGCTTTATTTTATAGCATGTTTATATTATTTATATTGTGCTTTAACGTTTAAAAGTTTGGGATGCTTCACATTTTCCTCTCCGTAGATTTTGGTACTTTCTGTCGGTTTTCATCTGGGCGCCAAAGACCTCTGAGTACTTCAAGTACACTTCAGCTAAACGGAAAATACAGTTTCCTCTGCGACTCATTTACAAGAGAGACCTGAAAAAAGATCTGGGTTGATTTAATTAACTTCATTTTTACCTTCAGAAAATCGAGCATCGATTTAAATAGGATGGTATATTTAGGACATAAAAACAATCATAATATGGCCATGATAACAATATAGTGTTTGAAAGTTAATCATGAATATAAAACGTCTTGTTATGTGAAATACTACTTTAAATACTCATAAAAATGTGAAATACTGTACTGAACTTTAAAATGTGACAGTTTCTATATTTGGGCAGCATAAAAGCCTGAAAGGACCACTTTGTTTTGCTCTCCGTTTTCACTTGCTGAAGGAAGAACTGCTGGGACCAACTTCATTGGGACCTCATTTCCTTAAATTAATTGTTACAATTGAATAGTTTTCCATCCATCCATCCATTTTCTTTACCCGCTTATTCCATTTTTGGGTCACGGGGGTCGCTGGTGCCCATGTCCAGCAATCACTGTGCGAGGGGCGGGGTACACCCTGGACGGGTCGCAAGTCCATCACAGGGACACACAAGTCAAACAACCATTTACTCTCTCACTCACACCTAGGGACAATTTAGAGTTACCAATCAGCCTAACATGCATGTTTTTGGACTGTGGGAGGAAACCGGAGTACCCGGAGAAAACCCACGCATGCACGGAGAGAACATGCAAACTCCACCCAGAAAGGCCCCTGGACCGGGGTTTGAACCAGGGACCTGCTCGCTGAGAGGCAGCAGCTCTACCAGTTGCGCCACCGTGCTGCCCTTAATAGTTTTCATTTGATACTATTTCTATCTTAACATGTGATTCTTGACCTGCCATTGTGTATCTGTTCCTCCTTCCTATTAATCTCAAACCCAGCCAGTCGAAGCAGACGTCCGCTTGTCCTGAGCCTGGTTCTGCTAAAGGTTTCTTCCTCATGAGGGAGTTTTTCCTTTCCACTGTCGCCTTCATGCTTGCTCAAGATGAAAGTTCTGTGATGGAGTTAAATTCAAAGCAGTCTGCTCCTCAGATAAATAGTGTTAAATTATTTATATATATATATATATATATATATATATATATATATATATATATATTTATTAATGTTTCTGTTCAGTGTCCTGAGATGACTTCTGTTGTGACTTGGTGCTATATAAATAAACTGAAAATGTATTTACTTTTTGTCTTTTGTCATGTTGTTCATGTTGAATGCAGTTGTGGGTTCATTCTTCTTTTGTTTTCTTTATTTGTTTTGTGGACTTTTTCATGGTCATTGTTTTTATGTCACTTTTATGTACCAATAATTTTTTTTGACAAATATTCTATAATTTGGAAAGTTGGACAAGAAATTTACTTTACTTTCTGAAGCTTATGCTACATTTATTAATGTTTTTATAAACATTTATCCTGCTAGTCCTGTTCAGGGTCAAGGATGATCTGGCGCCTCATTGGTTGAGATGGGACAAAGGTAACTGTGGACAGTTCACTGATTCATCACAGGGCCAGAGGCAAAAAAATAAATAAAACATTTACACCTACACTCATATCTAGGGACATTTCAAACTTATAAATTAATCTAACCTGCATGTTTATGGGCTGTGTAACGAGACCAGAGTACCCAGAAAACTCCCCAGGAAAGAACATGCAAACTCCTTTGCAAAAGGCTCTTTAAAGTCCTTCTTGCTGCAGAGCAATGGTGCTAACCAACTCCACCTTAATGCAGCCCTTGGTTTAATTTCATTTAAAAAAATCTTGACATGCCTCCTGAGACTGTTCATCTGAATCTGCTCATGAGGACCCACTCAAAGTCTCTGCAGGTGTCACTGTTGCATCTCCTTTTGCATTTCACTCTCCTTTTCAGGGTTTGTCCTTTTAAAACATTCATTAGAAACACATTGATGTGACATTTTTTGCAAAGATAGATTAGATAACTTTTTTAAAGTGCACATAAAGTCACATTTGTCAACTCACTTCTAAGGGTATCGTTCAAATGCAACTGCTTAAACAACACATAAGAAATGTTTAGTGGTGAAAACATTTATTAAACACATTGTTTTCCACATTAATGAAAAAAACCTGTAGTTTTTCTTTAATAAATTAATGCCTAACTGTATTTGTGAATAGGCAAATTAATCACAATAATAACCTAAGGCATGTATATTGCAGTTTATCTCTGTGCTGTGTTGTTTCTTCACTGCAGTTCAGAAGACGGGAGTGGCAGCGTTAAGATGTGAGGTGAAAACTATTCTTCTCTGGACTCTGTTGCTTCTGCTGCTGCTCTCCGGTCTGTCTACACTGCTTAGTGTCAACATCAGGCACACAAAATGATTTATTTAATTTCAAGTAAGACTACGTGCAGTCACAGTTCAGTTTAAGGCAGTGCAGTTATTGGGCTCAGTTTCAACTGGTGGTGGACCGGGGACTGCAGGCAAGAGGTAGGGAGGGTGAACACGGATGGCTCAAAGTTTTTGGTGTTAAAGGTGGCGGAGAAGTCACTGGCGAAAAACGAGGCCGACTCCGGAACACAGGGAGTGGCCGGCTCAGGCGTGACAGCGAGAGCGAGGGCGTTGGACAGGACCTCAGCCTCAAACTGCAGCAGCTGGCCCATAAAGCTGAAGTTTGGAGAAATGACCGCCCTGCGCTGCTTGATGATGTCGAAGGCTTCGTCTAGCCGAAGCTGCTGGGTCCTCATGATGTAAGCCATGCAGATGGTAGGTGAGCGTGAGATGCCTGCCTCGCAGTGTACCAGAACCTTCCCTCCTGATTGCTTTATTTGATCTGGAAAGAGATAAGCGGGGAAAGGTTTTCGTTAATATCATGGTTTTCAGTTGAGCCTCAGCACAAATAGTCTTGCATTAATGAAAATTAGATTTTATTAAGGTATAGGAGAGATCATATCTCTAGTTTTAGCACCGGCTCCTTGTAAAATTCAGAAATGAATTCAAAATCTTACTTCTAACCTACAAAGCCCTCAAGAACCTAGCTCCATCTTATATTCGAGATCTTATTGTTCCATATTTTCCTAACAGAACACTTCACTCTCAGACTGCAGGCTTACTCGTGGTTCCTAGAGTTTCCAAAAGCAGAATGGGAGGAAGACTTTTGTTATCAGGCTCCTCACTTGTGGAACCAACTTCCTGTCCATAAGGCTGACACCTTGTCCAGTTTTAAGACTGGGCTTAAAACTTTCCTTTTTGATAAATCCTATAGTTAGGGTTGGCTTGTTATGTTGCTATAGGCTTAAGACTACTGGAGGACAAATTGACCTAATTTCCTTAAATGAATTATTAAAATTGAATAGTTTTCATTTGATACTATTTCTATCTTAACATGTAATTCTCAACCTGCCATTGTGTATCTGTTCCTCTCAAACCCAGTCGGCCGAAGCAGATGACTGCTTGTTCTGAGCCTGGTTCTACAAGGTTTCGTCCTCATGATGGAGTTTTTCCTTTCTACTGTCGCCTTCATGCTAGCTCAAGATGAGAGTTCTGCGATGGAGTTAAATTCAAAGCAGTCTGCTCCTCAGATAAAAAAGTTAAATTATATATATATATATATATGTTTCTGTTCAGTGCCATGAGATGACTTCTGTTGTGACTTGGTGCTATAGAAATAAACTGAACTGAATTCATTGATTCATCTGTTTGTCTTAATTTTGTCGTACTTTAAAAAAAAAACCTGTCAATCACACTCCTAATCCATAATTAATGCAAACACCTTACACAGCAGTAACAAAGAGATATTATGGACTAAAGGAAACAGTGCAAGCATATCATATTTTCAGTGCTGCACATTAAAAAAAACACTGTTTTCGTCAGCAGCTCATGAGCTCTTTACCCCTCCTGCACTGCTGTGGGGGTGCTGCATGCAGCAGCTATATTCACTGGAACACACGTGTGTCCCAATTTAGAACTGCCGCACACCTACACTCTCTTCAGTGTGTTGTGTCACCTGCGCACCAATCTACTTGCACTCAGCTTTCTAAATTAAACGTCCTTCTTAAGATGCCTTAAAGATTTCATTGATTTTAAGATCCCCCACAAACACCCACATGTCTTGCTTGTAATTCCGATCTTCCTGCAGTGCAGATGCGCAGTAGACTACACGTCTATGTCTAAATCACGGAAGCGTTGAGGGCCACTTCTGCCTCTTCCAAAGAGCCACTGCAGGGGGAACGACTGATTTCTGACAGCTCTGATCTTTGGTAAAAATGAATCATGAACTTTGGGCTGCAGAAGATGCAATGAGAGGCGGACAGCTGTGGGTGTTGTAATGACCATCATTGGCTGGGGATAACACACCATGCTTCAGCTGCTGTTTTAATCCAGGATGTCGATAATATTTATTATCTCCTCCCCAGAGTGACATCACTCGCCCAGTCGCAGTTCCGATTTGCTGATTGATTTTAATTTAGCAGCTGTGATTGTTTGCGTATGCCGAACGCCTAATGACTTGACAGAGCTGGTGAAGTTTGGACGCCTCATCTGAATGTAGGCTAAACCTGCTCCTGGAACACTTTGCTGCCTTATGCAAGAGACAGGCATCCACAGGGACTGCATCCCTAAACAATGCACAACACCAACAAAAGCTGCCACCCATTACAGGTCAGCCAATCTGCTCGTGGCTGAGCTTTGCTCTCCGTTATGCCTGGCTAAAATTATCCCATTGTGGATATCTTTGCAGCTGCTGCTGCCATTATCCAGCAGCTTTTTAATGCTCCACACTCTCTCTTTTCTTGTGTAACAAATTTTCTGCCCTGCAGGTCCATCAGTAATCTTCTACAGAAAAACAAGCATGCTCTTGTTTTCGTCTAGTGTTTATCCTCCACCCATTACCATAAATAACTGAGTATGCATCAGTCCACCCCGGCCATTGATAAGCACAGACAGCTTACCTAGTTGTCACACTGGCTGACCACACCCTGTGCATGTGATTTGGCTTGGGAGGAGCTGATGATGGGTTTGGAGCCAGAGATCGGAAGGAAACGAGGGGAGCGAGCAAATCCTGACTGACAGCAGAGACTGGACGGGTTGGCGGGGGATTGAAGGCTTGCCATTAAAGTTAAACTGATTACGGCTGGGTTTCTTATAGCGTTCTATTCCTGAACGGCGGCAGGCTCGGACAAAAAGGGAGCCACTTCTCAAAAATAAACACACCTATGAATAGGTGCCTCTCAGCTTGTGTATTTTTAGGACTTGAATGATGTGTCCTTGTAATACCATAAAAGTTTATATTGGTGGCTGCTGGTTTGAGGGATTGAATCATTTGCAGCAAAGCATCAACAGTTTCTTAACCATGAAAGAATAAAACAAGTTATGCATGTGTTCCCTTTCACTCACCTATGAACTCTATCGCCTCCTGGAAGTGAGAACTGATGTCGGCCATGTGGCTGTCCTCCACCGGGATCCACTTGTAGTCATAGTGGCCCTTGGCCGGCTGCAGGTCCCTGCGTGACACGTTGAGCAAGGCCGTGATGTGAAGGTCACTGAGATAGTCGTGTCTAGAAGCATGATAGGCACTACCGAGGTAGAGGAAAGGCAAAATCTCTACAGGTTTACCCTGGAGCGCACAAATAAAGAAAGAGAGAAAACAGAGACGTGAGTCAAGTTGGGACTGCAGCACTCAAGACAAAACAACCCTCCAGCCTTGATGCGTCTGCTTTTACCAGAAAAAAATGCATCCATTGTTCAACTACCTGCTGAACATCATGGCTCATTTACAGATCAAGTGCAAATGGAGGGGCAGGTCCCCCTTTTAGCAAAGCCATTAGCGGCCACAATGTGTCTGTCAATTGAGATATTTTCCAAATCTGAAACTGTTGCATGCTTTCTATTTACAGCGGAGGAAAGGTCAGAAATTTCTATCAGATGGGCATCATGGCTCTCTTTGTGCCACATATAAAAAGAACCAGGGAGTGAGGAAGGTCAGAGAAAATGTCACAGTTTTTTATGCCAATATATGATGGTTTTAACTTATAAGAGTTTAAGAAGAAACCCTGACAGCTGCTGTGCGCCCTGCGGCTGCGTGGGAGAGGTGGAGGAGGGCGTTTGTGTCAGGGTGTTTCCATACCTGATCGTAATCTGGTTTGTGGTGACAAAGCTTCTCGCTGTGGCTGTTGGCTCTCTTCTCAGTTTCAGTTCCGTTCTGGTCAGTGGTTTTCACCTCAGTGCAAAGTTCAGGGTACTGAGAGTGGAAGCTTTCGTATCCTCCTGAGACAAACAGGAAAAGAAAAAGCCATGAATAACACGTCTTTAGAAAGAAGTTTAAAATAACACACACACACATATATATCTTGTGAAATGTGGCAGAGTTTACGAAACAGTCTTAGCCTTGGATTAAAGCATTTATAACCTGATTAGACGCGTAATTAATTACAGGAGCGCGCACTCGGTAATCCGTTTAGGGGCCACAAGTGACCTTTTTATCACCACAGAAAACTGCATTATTTCTCGCAGGCTTAGAGGTAAACATTGTCAAGTAGTTGTACTTTTTTTTTTTTAAACAAAAGTCGTTGCACCACATTTCATGTGTTTCTCCAGCACTGACTCATCCGCTCCGCTGACGCACGCAGGACGCTTATGTCTCCAAGAAATCTCAGCTTCTCCCAACATGGGATGACACGGGAATGACTGTCAGCAGCAGCAAGGCGCACAGGAATAATCCCATTGTGCAGGATAAACATCACTGCGCTTCTCATTAGGACTTGGGAAACTGGCGTTTCGTTTCATTTAAGTCGCTCTGAGGTAAACTCAGAATTAATATATTGTTCATTAATTCATAATTAATAAAATAAATCGTCCTGGTGTTTTATTTTTAAAGTCGAAACGTCCAGTTTTTGTTTTTTTTTTAATCAGATTTTCCCCCTCTCTGAACAAAAATAATATGTTTTTATGAAATAAACCCACCTTTCAGAAAACAGATGCTGGTCCCGCTCGCCAGATGTGACAGGGTGTTTATGACTATTTGTGCTACGCTGTCCTTCTTTAGTTTTTGCCAGTGGGACGTCCGGTCGTCCAGAGCCACGATGGCCGATATGCTCCCTTCCCGGAGGCGGTACAGGGCTCTCTCATCCGGGATGACGAACTGCAGAGGCACCGGTCCTCCCCGGGACCTCCGGACCACCACTGAGTTCAGGTTCACATTGACAGAGCCTATGATGCTGGAGTTCGTGAATGTGAAATAGGGTCGACAGTCCACAATAAGGCAGCTCCCGCACTCCTTCCTGATGATCCTCCTCAGACGCCGGCAGTCTATGCTGGAGACTTTCATGTTTGCCGTCGAGGAGTTGTTTATTTTTGTTGGAATTTGTCGCCTTAAGAAAACAAAGCGGATTACTCCTTGAATGCGGGCGAGCGAAGAGCCCCGACCGCGTCTGTGTCTACATTTCCTCCAAGGGGATTCCGGCCGAGGAGTTTTAAGTGAATGGAACCTCCGGCGTGTGACGTCACGAACCATATATGGACACCGACGCTGTGAGAGCGCAGGAATGGCCCGCCCACGTCCTTGACTTCACTGTGACTCCGCCCCCCGGCCTCAGTGGGAAGCAAAGAGAAAGAACCATACGCTACTACAGCGGTTCGACCGGTCCAAACATTACTCACTGTCTTCTGATGCATGCTCAATAATCCAGGTAGAAAAAGGCAAAAAAGTTCAATCTGGTTCTCTGGACATTAAAAAAAAAAAAAAAAAAAAAGCAAAAAAATGTAGATACGTTTCGTCTCTCATCCGAAAGACTTCCTCAGTCTGAGGTGCTGTATTCAGCTCAGTCTCTTAAACAGCACCTTCTCAGAGTGGATCAACCAGTTTGCTGCTGACAACCAAAACCAGCTGCTCACATGGTCAAGAAGGACCATCAGCCAAAGAAACTGAAAGTTAAACTGGGTTTCTTTTTCAGAAACAAATCCTGAATAACCCTGAATGCTAGAAAACGCCTTGCATCTGTGACTTTCCTTCCCTCAATTGATTATGGTGATATCATTTACATGAACGCTCCTACAAGAACCCTGCAGATGTTGGATGCTGTCTATCATGGTGCACTAAGATTCATAACTGGCTGTGATTATCGTACCCACCACTGCACCCTGTATTCTCTGGTTAACTGGACATCATTAACATCACGCAGACTCTCTCACTGGTATATTTTCATCTTTAAATCACTTCTTGGTCTGCTGCCTTCATACATCTCCTCCTACATGTCTCTGCGTGAGTGCAGCTACGGAGTGCGCTCTCAGGACATTATTACCTGCAGTGTTCCCTCAATGAGAACTGAACTAGGCAAAAGGGCCTTCTCCTATTCCGCTCCTGTTTCCTGGAATATCTTACAAAAAGATTTGAAGCTCTCGACCTTGACCTCTCTAAGTGTCTTTAAGAATCTGTTGGACACCTGGCAGGGTCCAATGCTGACATGTTCCTGTTTTTAGTTTTCTACATTTGTCTTGGAATCTAGCTGTTTTTTATTTTGTTACCTTTTCCTTTTAGCCATCCTATTTGTTAAAAAACAAACAAACAAAAAAAAAAACTGTAGTATGCTTTTTTATAACTGTTTATTGTTGTCACTGTTGTCCATTGTTGTCATCTTTCTTTGTTGAAATCAGGTCTCTCTTGTAAATGAGTCCCTGAGGCTCAATGGGATTTACCTGTATAAATAAAGGTTGATTGAAGGACCATCAGCCTAACAATGGATCATTAGCACACTGATGGCTGTTTACTGTTCACAGAGGGCTGAGTGATACTAGCAATCACAGCATTGTAAGAGGGGGACAGTTGAACCCGGAGGCCTCCACCCCTGTTTAATGATGGACGATTTCTTTTCACAAAGATGGCCTCCTTTACTCCTCTCTCAAGCCATCGTTCCTCTCTGTCTAGGATGTGAACATCTTCATCCCTGAAAGAGTGACCGCTGGCCTGGAGATGAGTGTAGACCGCAGAATCCTGGCCTGATGATGTTGATCTTCTGTGCTGGGCCATCCTTTTGGCCAGTGGCTGTTTAGTTTCCCCCATGTAAGACTGATCACCCTCCTGACACTGAACATCATACACAATATTACTCGGTTTGTGCCGGGGGACTGGATCTTTGGGATGAATCAGTCTTTGCCGTAATGTATAGAGACTGAGACCTCACAGTCCAAGAAAGCCAACCTGCCATTTTTTACATCTTCTCGTGTGAACTTATGTATTTTTGTAGAGACATAGTAGAGTTTTCATTCATTCAGCCATACAGGTTAATCCCATTACTCACTGTCCCTATTTTATAGAGTCGTTGTCAGTCTGCCGATAGATGATAAATGAAGCACATGGATCAGTGATGAAGAATCAAGTTTTTTCTTCTGCAGGGAAAGATAATGAACGCAGAAAAATACTTTGGCTAATCGAAGCTATTGGGAAGTGGTTGCTGCTTTTTGGCTTTTACAATGAACAACACATTTTTGGTGGCAGTATCTTTCAAGTACAAAGTACAAAGTGGAGAAATTGCATTTTCTGCACAACATATGCAGTGTGAGTGCTCAGCACGAGTGACTACTGAAGAAGCTGAAACTGAGCTGGTAAAGCTTAAAACGGCAGAATACTGGCTGGAAGGTAAAAGGAGCAGAACATTAGCTAAAAGCTAAAGGAGGCGGAAAACTAAAAACTACCAAAGATTTTTCTTCCTCCAAAAAACAGAGTGTACTGTAAATTAGAGCAGTCGTCCTTCAGCGCACGAATTGGGGGTTCATTACCACCAGCAGTCACATGCTAAAGTGTCCTGCAAATGTCCCATCAGTGTATGGATGTGATAAAGTACTTATTAGTTTCTACAGATTCAGATTAGCTTTGTAGCGATATAGTAGAGTTTTCATTCATTCAGCCATACAGGTTAATCCCATTGAGCCTCGGGGACTCATTTACAAGAGAGACCTGGATTTTTAACAAAGAGTGATGACAACAGTGGACAACAACGACAACAATAAACAATCATAAAAGATGCGTACAAATTTAAATGTTGTGCTGTAGTGTGCAGAGTACTGTATGAATGGGTAAATGAGGGCACAGGTTGTAGTGTGAAGCACTTTGAGTATCTTGATAAGATAGAAAAGTGCTATACAAGTACAGTCCATTTACCATTTACTGATCTCTGCTAAGGCAGCACGGTGGCACAACAGGTAGCTGCCTCTCAGCGAGAAGGTTGCTGGTTCAAATCCGGGTCCGGGGACCTTTCTGGGTGGAGTTTGTATGTTCTTTTTGTGCATGTGTGGGTTTTCTTCGGGTACTCCGATTTCCTCCCACAGACCAAAAACATGCATGTTAAGCTGATTGGTAACTCTAAATTGTCCCTAGGTGAGAGAGAGAGAGCGTGATTGGTTGTTTGTCTCGTTTGTCTCTATGCGGCCCTGTGATGGACTGGAGACCAGTCCAGGGTGTACCCCGCCCCTCGCACAGTGATTGCTGGACATGGACACCAGCGACCCCCGTGACCCAAAATGGAAGAAGTGGCTAAAAGACAATGGATAGATGGTCTCTGCTAGAGTTACCTTGTGGGTTAAAATGAAAGCAGAAAACTTTGAAAATTACTTTTCTGTGGTATCGACTCGCTTAAAGATTATTAATGTGTGTAACTATTTAAATTTCATATGAATCTGTCTTGTATTGCTTGACTAAAAACAAACTTACTATATTTTAAAAATATAAATGAAAAGGAAATGCTTCACAGCTGGTCTCTGATGCCTATAAAAAGAGCTTTTTAATATAATTGTTGATTATGTTCAAGTTAATCAATTTTTAAAACCTGTTAACACATTTTCACTTTCAAAACATCATAAAATTTGTTTGAATGAAGTTAAATTGAACTCTGAATGTGACTGAATTGTACTTAAAATGGACTTGGGTTTAGATTAGACTTGTTTGCTTTTTGTTCAGTGACCCTAGATGAGTTTTTCGTGTAATTTGGCACTATATAAATAACTCTAAACTAATTTATCTAAACACTATATCAGAAATGACTATCAGTTAATACTAAGAACATACAGGCATGTAAATATCACAGTGAGGGCTTGTAAACTTAACATACTCGTCTCAGAGGATCAAACATTTTCAAGCTCTAATTTTATTATTTGAGTGAAAGGCTTTTAAATAATCTTCCATGTCCTGCAATGGGAGAAGTTTCAGGAAGAGCTCAGACAAAGTAGCTGACAAAAGCAACTTCTAATTTCCGCTCAGTCCCATGTATAGCCCAGTGAACCAGCACAACATCCCTCCAACATCCATAAGCCTAATCCTCCAAATGAACTAACAGGTTTAAACGTCACTCTGCCCGCGCTCACATGACGTGAAACCAATCCTGACACACAGCTCTGGATTGTGTTCGGGTTGAGTTTGCAGTGAGAAATGTTTGACTGCAGCTGCAAACAGGAAAGGAACTGAATTAACAGTTTAGTAATACCTAAGAAAAAAAAAAGTTTTCTTTCTGGATTCATGGTGTCAAGGAAAACGTTTTGACAAATCCTGAAATTGCCTAAAGGTTAAACCTTCTAATGCTTAAAAGCTAACTAACTTAATCCACACAAAACTGGTCAAAAATTTAAAATAAACTCAACTAACAGGTGTTACATCATGTGTTTGCATGGACCGCGCATGAATGACAACAGCAGCAAAACACAGAGAGAAGCAAAACAAATGTGACTAATCAAATCTGGATGGACAATAATAAAGATGCAGGGACAGAACTGGAGAAAGTTGCTAAAAACAAAAACAAGCAACACCAAACTACAAGTGTACATTTTTAGTTCTGAATGACTTTGTGGAATAATTCAATTCAGTTTATTTATATAGCGCCAAGTCACAACAGAAGTTGTCTCAGGGCACTGAACAGAAACATTCATATATAATAATAATAATAAGTTAACACTATTTATTTGAGGGGCAGACTGCTTTGAGTTTAACTCCATCGCAGAACTCTCATCTTGAGCAAGCATGAAGGCGACAGTGGAAAGGAAAAACTCCCTCATGAGGAAGAAATATTTAGGCTCAGGACAAGTGGCCATCTGCTTTGACCGACTGGGTTTATAGGAACAGATGCACAATGGCAGGTCAAGAATCCCATGTTAAGATAGAAATAGTATCAAATGAAAATTGTTCAATTAGCTGAAACTGAGTTGTTAAAACAAAGAGGCAAAACACAAGTCTAGTTAAAAGCAGGGCTTAATTTGAGCAGGATCCTGCCGGAACCGGATCCAGATACGCCCTTATTTTGATAGGGTATGTTCCGGTAACTGTTAGCTTGGATCTGGTAACTCTCAGGCTTCCTAATAATAAAGTCATGAACAAATATGACTGCCTTGGACAAATAAAACTTATATTAGAAATGTAAACCTAAACTATTTACATAAACACTCATTTTAAACACAACAGC